TTTAACCCTTCGCGGACGAGGAGTTTCCAAAGTATCCGAAAGTTTCGATACCAAAAGCTGAATTATACGTCGAACTCTTTGGTACCGAAGAAACAGAAATGCATACAGTATTCTCGCGATTAGTATCCGAAAATCGGGACTGCAACCGGACATTGATCGTGCAGTGGTGTTGATTTCAAGTCGAGATAAGATTCGAATCGAGCCCTCAGTTTGCCCTCCGTAGAAAAGGACGACGCGAATAATACAGATCCGAACTTCAGATCAAAGCAAACAGACGCATGATAAGATATTAACGCAATGTTGAACCTGTTTATTTTTCACTTTTACTGACTGAAATTTTTATCAATTGAATTGTGAGGATTTTCTTATTAAATCGAGACCGAATACGATACATGTCGGAACATATTTACTTATTTAATAAATTACAACGATTTATTTTCTTCTAATAAATTGTGAGTTAAAGTATGTTGTATGTGGTCTTATTTTAATTCAAAAAATCTCACAAATGCGTTAATAACAGTTTCATTTACCAAAAAACCCTTATAAGAAAGTGATATCATCGCATCAATAGCGTCTCACCTGCAGTACTAATCCTGCAGATCGGACCGAGTACTAATCGCGGGGATACTGTATATCGATCTTTGGTTATTTGAACGACTACGTTGTTTGATTGCAACTTGGTACGTCATATGACAAAGTTTGATGTCGATACAACGACATTCGTCCTCAAAGGATTAATTGTTGTAGTCGAGGGGTGGAATTTTGTGAATGGATGGCTCGAGATCGAGAAAATTCGGTTTGCGATCGCGATTCGTTCGTGGGACAGAAAAAGATCGCACGGGAGCGGAAAAATGGCGGCGCGTGGGCTTACGGCTCTTTTCGCAATGGAACATGGGACTCAAAAAATTCGAAAAGGTATTCGACGCTTTGTCTTTCTCTCTCTTCCTCACCGTTTTGCTCACTCCAACCCACTCTCTCCCGCCTTTTCTCCCTGTCTCGCGCGCAATTCGCACCCCGCGCAACCCTTAACGCCGAACATATGTAGCACATGTACGTGATTCCATATATATTTATAATATATATATTTGTTTTGCTTCATATATATATATATATATATGTATATTTATATATTTGCATGTATAATTAGTTTAATCCTCCTTCTCCCTCGTCGTGGTAACTATCTATAATATTATCTACAGGGCAGTAGCCAAACGCTGTGCCTGACTGTGCGATTTGGTTTTTTTCATCTTCTCTCATTTTTTCCTCTTTCATTTCTCCCATCGCGCGTTGTGCGATCGGCTCGCGACGATGTGCGCTCTGTCTGCTTTCCCCTGTTTCTCGTTTCTCTTTGTTTCCTCTTGAAAATCGATCGAGTTTTCTCCAAGCGTCAGACGATCGAGTGATTTCGGGGTCAAGTATGTGGCCCCGGTTATGAGTCTCATCCCATTTTCTCATTTAAAACATTCCATGATCCCGCGACACGAAGGAAGTTGGCACAAAGGGAAATCAAAATCGTTCCTGAACATTCCTTCGACGAAGAAAGTACTCCCTCGAGCTTTTCAATCAACAAATGAAGCGAATGTTTCATTTAAACTCCAAACAAAATAGCAGCTTCAAGGAACACTTCTTCTTCATAATATTAAAAATGACGAACTTGTAATCAATTTTTTGATGAGTAACGAAAATTATTTGAACCCGTCGTTTAATAAATAGCAGATTATTATTACCGAATGATTCGTTAGTATTAACAGCAGCACTTGTCGGTTTAAGGAGCCCGATTAACATTCAACGGAAACTTAGATCCGTGCTGTCCCCTTCGGCTTGTAATCGTAGTGGAATTGCGTCAGCGAAAGAACACATGACCCCGCGGGGGGGAAGTCGACGAGTTTCACTTTCAACTCTGTAAAATTGTGCGGATATAAATGGAAACGGGACCTCGGTCACGTGTCGGACCGTGTGCGTGCCCGTTCGTGTGTGCGTGAACCTTTTGTGCGCTCGCCGCAAGGTCTGCCGTGAAATTCGGATCGTTTCCGGTTCACGGAACCGCGAGGCGAGTTCCCCACCGCGTCTCGGTGCAAATGGAAGTCAGGATAAACCGTACGTAAAAAAAAAAGAAACGATCATGTTCAAATAATCGTCCTTCGCGGCGCGACAAGAACGAGGAATTCAAATTTCCCGCGTAAAACAAAAATCCGACCGAATCCTGTTGAACTTCCCGAGCTTCTCGAACTTTTCCACGAAATTGTGCCAATAATTCGCGAACCGTAGAAAATCGTTTAATCATCGGAGCGATCGATTTTCGCGAAAAAGTTCGGGAACGTCGCAACGCGACGCGCGGCCGACAAGATGGCGGCTGGTCGAGTCCCGGGAATAGTACGAACTTGCGGCCCGAGTGAGTGTTCCCTGCTTAGGCCATTTTTTTTTCTTTCGTCGACGCCCATCGTCTTCGAGCGATGCTGACTAGATCGTTCCATTTCGTCCCCCCTTCTTCGTCGTCGTCTTCGTCTATCCTTAATCGTCGGAGCAGTTCGATTCATGGTGTGTCTCACTGGCAGTAACTCGGTGCACGCCGTCCTAGGATTACCGGTCCCTTCGTTCAACGGAAGTTGAGCGTCGCGACGTGAGCCGGCTCCTCTTCTTTCTTTCCCTTCTTTCATTCCTTCGTCAACTGTACATCATTCTCTCACGATACATATCGTGGACGAGGGGTACGAAACAAAATTCTTAAAACTACCCTTTCAAGACAGCGACAGAAACGAATGTTTCGAAATATTCAGTCCCAAATGCTATTCTCTATCCGCAGTTTTCTGGGTTTAGCTCAGATTCGACGCGAAATGCTCTTGGGACGTAACATTTCCATTCGAAATAAAGTTAATCCACTTTAAATTCGATTGTGTCATTTACACACCGTCTGCATACATCAACAGATCAGAAAATACTTATCGAGCGGTTCGTTAATAAATAGATCTGTCTTGAAAGGAGCCGAAGCACTCGAACCCTGGAGATTCATCGCAAAATCAGTCCACCAACCACACACGACGCAAGAGATGGACTATCGAATTTCCTCGGCGTTCAACGCTGGAAGCGGCGAGCGCTAAAAATGACTAGCTTCATCGAAATGACGAGAGTGCGTTCGTTGGGACGTCGATTGCGATACGCACGAATAAATAAACTTATCCGATAATTCCCCGCGAAATCACCTTTATAATCTTAACAATTGTACAACATGTAATCACAAACGGGCCTTGCCGACCTGCCCGGTGCTTTCAGCGTTGGCCGTCGATCGATCTGTCAGGGCTAGGATCCGCCATAGTTCTCGATTCGGTCTCGGACGATCCGTCGGCGAGACTCGGCCGCACGGGAAACCTCGCGCGCGAAACTCCACCTGCCGCATTCTAAGAAAAGTCACCCCCTCTTTCTCATGGTCCCGTTGCAAGTAAATCGCGATTGTGACGAAACGAGGGTACTTCCGCGATCGGTTCAGACACCCGAAGAATCCCCGCAGCCGCTCGCCACGGTATCACAAATAAGACCAGGCGGAATAAGACATTTTTCCCCGTGAAAGCAGTGTGGCTCCCGCCGGAAATGATCGGGAAAGGAGTCCCTTCGTGTGCAGGAGTTTCGCACGCAAGGCGGTTGCGCGCCGCACGATTTCTCGACGCTCCGCCGATCCCCGTTCGATAAACGATCGATTCGATCGACGAGATTCATTCGCACTTGGTGAATATTGCTTCTGCGTCGGCTGTTGCCTCGATCGGGTGAGCCGCCATTTTGGAGACGCGGGGACTTTAACTCTCAATTCGTTTTCTCGATCGTAACGAAGGTAGAATGGTCGAGCCTTGAAAGCTAGAGTGACCTAAGTCCAACAATGTTCTTTTAAATAACGAAAATGTAAATTTGTAATAATTTTCTAAACAACTTTATACATATTCATTCGGCGATAGATCAAATAAGTTAGCAACCTTCGGTTGCCAAACCTCGATAAGATGTTTCCCGATTCTACGATCATCACGTCAGAATAATTCCATTATCGGAGCAGTCTGCTTTTCAATGTTTCCATTATACAACCGGAAGTACAACAATTTAACTACAAAGAATTTCTCTCGTTTCCACGATCGAGAGCTGAGTCTCCCGTGGCTCGATCGCTTGGATCCCGCGAAGACCTTCTTCGACGATGAAAACCGGAGGTGTTTATCGTTAAAAAAGAGCGAGAAAGAGATGAGAGAAACGGCGGGGTCAGAAGACCAGTGAGAAAAACGGAGGGAAAGGTCGCTCGAGCGGGAGAGAGCGGACGCGCGACGCGTTCCGTGCCGAGGAGAAGGAGAGAGACGATCGATCGCGACGATCAGTCGCGAAGACACTCGAACGATGAACTTTAGGAACTTCCGCGACGGATGAACGTCATCCCCCGACCGACCCGTGTGCGCGTCCCGGTCTTCTTTCAATCTCGTGTGTAAACCGTGTCGCGTAGGAACGGGCGAGCGTGTGTATATCAAAGAATAATCCTGGAAAGAAGAGCCAGCGACGATCCGCGCGACCGTGTCGCGCTGTACTCGCGTTTCGTGCCTCTCTTCCTCTACGTACACACCCCGTTCGAGTCATATCTCAAATCCGGCCTGTGTCTGCGCGTGCAATATCCCCATCGATTCTTTTTCTTCCCTTTATTTTTCGCGTTTTCTCCTCTGCGCTTTTCTTCTTCGTTTTCCCTTTTCTTTCTTTCTTCCGAAATAATTCAGTCGATCGTCAACATTCGTGCTTCACGTTCGCTGGCGCGGCGAGCGTGCTCACGTGGCCCCGATGTGGCGTCGCGTGGAAGAGCGAGTCGCTTCAAGCTTCTTCTTCTTCTTCTTTCGTCTCTTCGTCGTTTTCTTCATTTTCTTCCCTCGAGATCCCTAAGGACGCCTGTCCAATCCTCGCGGATTTCGACAGAAGGATTTCGATTTCGAATCGACGGCGGTCCGAGACGGGGATCGACGATGTCCTCAATCCCGGGCCTGAGTTTGCCTCTGATCGCCGATCGGCTGATCGGCCGGCGTATCGCAGCGATCCACGATCGTGTGTTTCGTCTTCCATTTCCTCTTGATCGGTGGAGAATGCTTCAGAGACGGAGGGTGTTGATCCGCTGCCACCCCAATCGCGTCCGCGAGACCCCGATTACGTCGCGCCCTTCTTTCCCTTCGATTTCACGGTTTTGTGCTCCTCGTTGGTCGCGCTCGGCGGCCCGTTGTTGTCCAGTCTGGCCACCCGCCGGTAGATGTCGCTGTTTACAAAACGAGGATATGAGTCCCGCTGCATCAGCGTGTAGATCTGCAGCTGCGCCTCGTCGAAGGTGTGTGGAGTCGGCTGCTCCATGTTGTTGTTCACAATCTCGCGCACCCGCGCGTCCAGGCTCACCTGAAGACGGTTCAGTATTTACTATGAGTAACCTTCGATTGATCCTCGTGGATCTTGATAAAATTTCAATTGAATTTGAATTTGTATTTCCTATGGTAAACGCGGTTGTAATTATTGAAAGCATAGTCGAAAAAATGAATATCGGACGCAAGGAATTAGCGTGTTATTGATTTCATATCTCAATTAAACTTCTAATGGCAGAACCCTAGGAAAATGAAGAATTCACATTAAAGACTCAAACTGACAATTAAAAAAAGCAACTCGACGTTAAACCTTCTAGCTTCTCAGCAATAGCCAATAAAAGTGAAGAATCAAAAACCTCAGACCAAAAGAAAAGAAACTGAAGGAGTACATTAGAACTATCAGAGAAAAGATTCAAACGAAGTCAAATATAAATAAAGATAAAAAACTCGGCGAACCAAAACAGATGAATTCAATGAAAAACTGTAGGGAAACGGTCAAAGAAGATAAGGAAACGAGAAGAACAATTAAATCAGTCCACGAGTAAGGTTAAAATCAAAGGGGCTTTGTAGATGAAAAAAAAAGTATCAGGGAAGAGACAAAGAATCGAGGTGAAGCATCAGTGAAGTGTCAGAACGAAAAGGACCAGGTTTTACCGGTTAGAGGATTGAGGAGAACAGTGAAAGGGTTCGCTAAAAGATCCCCGGGGACTTGACTCACTTCCTTCGACGAGTCCTCGGATATGTACTCCTTGTAGATGAACTGCGCTTCCGTCTTGATCCTCTCTGGGTTGTTCTCCCGCTTGAAGTCCTCGCACGCCGTCCAGAACGCGATATTCTCCTCGCTAAACTCGCTCCTGAGGAACTCCCTGAATAGCTTCCGGCCTGCCGCGCTCCTCATCAGTTTCTCGAAAGAGGTGCCCCATGTCCTGATCTCCTCCAGGTTGCATTCCATGCCGTCATCGAGGCCGTTCCCCGCACCTGCGTGCTCGACGCCGCCACTACCGTGCTCGCCGCCGATGCCAGCGTTCCCTTTCTTCTTCCCTTGGTCGCCAGCGCCCTCTGCGCCCGCCGAGTTACCCCCGATTGCCGCCAAACTGCACACAAAATCGCACCTTCAAACCCTCCGCGCTCTGTCGCGCGATAAAACGCAGCGATCGGGAAGCAAATTGAATCGCAAAGCGTAAAGCTCGCCGTGAACATCGGATTTTGTACTTTTTACGCCCGCGTTCGCGAGACTTTGAACCATTCTCTTTGTTATCGCGGCTTTTATACACTTTCTTTGTAATTTAATGCAGTTGACGATGATGGTTTTAACAATGACGTTCCATAGGGAACGTCTATACCTTTAACAAATCAGCGAAGAAGGAAACAAAGAGAATAATGTACAATCTCGGAGAACTCACAAAAAATTGAACATTACGTTCAACACTGGATTCAGCTTTAAAAACCGACTCCTTCAGAATCACTGATACCATTCACAGAAAGAGACTCGTTCGAAGACAAAATGATCCACGTAGAATGTCTAGCAGGAACACGTCGGTTCCTGGAGATTTTCTTTTATCCGCCGCAATTGTATCAAAAACCACCGGCGGCACCGTAACACAGAAACACAGTCGGAAGCGATAACGCGACCGAATAGGGGCGCGGAGAAAAGTGAAGAGATGGGAAAAGGGAGGAAAAAACTGGCGGACGAAAAGGCGTTCTGGTTTGACGCGCGGTTGAGGGCGGGCCCGTAACAATGGCGACGATAAACCGGCGCTGGTTCCTCGAAAAATCGAAAAATAAGCGCCCGGGTTTCCTTCGCGTTCCCGGTGGCTCGGCTCCATTATCCCGGAAACTTCCTCGTTTCGTTTCTGCAAACAGTCGACCGGGAAGATAGCGTAACGGCGGCGGGGTTGGAGGAGGTGCGCGGATAAATAAGCAGATAGTGACGGCCGGAAAACCTTCGTTCCTCCCCGGCCGGGCCAGATTTCCGGCCGAGGGTGGACACGTGTTACGCATCCGGGGGGTTTTCCGCAGCGAACGGCCGCGAACGATCCCTGGGACGGTTATCGCCGGGAAATCTTCGTCGGCAAGAAGATTGGCCTCCCCGGATATGAAATTGCTCCCACATAAACGTCTTCGAGCGACGGGGACGCTGTCGGATCGCGGAATCGCGGGGAAACACCCTGACGGGAACCCGTTCTGTTTTATAGATTCGTCCGAATTGATTTTCTGCTTTCTTTGGCTTTTGTATTGGACTTTTGGGATGACGAATGTGTATTCGGTATTTAGGGTTTGAGAAATTTGGGAACGGTTTTAGGGATGAAGTACTTTGAGTTGAATGTTGTTCAGTTTGTTGAATATTGTTGGACTGGTGAGGTGTTCGGGGTTTAATTTAATTGTTTAGTTAATTGTATCGTGGTTTTTAATATGTATAAGATTCTTTCCAATAATTATATTTGTGATGTTGATTGAAATTTTGTCTTGTAGATTGATACGAAGGAACGGAAACAGTATATAATTGCAGACAAAAGAAATATAGTACATCCATTGCGATTTATCTTCAATGTGTACTATTTAATTAATAAACACATCGGGAACACATTTCATTTACTCGAATATAATGTAGTGCTTCAAACGTGGGAGTACGGAATGCGAAAATGAATAATAATTTATTTCGGAAACGGCTGTGTATAATTGTTCAACAACAATAGCGGATGAAGCGGATAAATTCAGCTCTCTCATTTGCAGAGAACTCTTACCGATCCTCCCTATGCCTGAAAAATTATATAAGAGATCATTCAGAATCTGGAGCCCGGGGTATTAACAACCCTCCCGGATAATTCAGAGCTGGAGATCAAATTAAAAGCTCCTTTTGAATCATTATCCCAATGAGGGAAGAAAGGATGTCGGCGTAATAGAGATAAAGCTTGGACAAATTGGGAATTCTCGATGAATATTGAAAATAATATGAAATCTCCATTACATTGCATTAAAAGAATTTGCTTCATTAAATTCCGCGAATACTGACTCTTCAATTATACGCTATAATTAAGTCAGCGGCATATGAACTAAAAAATTTCAATACAGACGAAACTTGATTTGATTTAATGATTTACCATCATAACAGATGAAAGAAAGTGCACACCAAAAACACCCCAATACAAAACAATTCATCACTAGAACTAAAATAACATCTCAATCAATTTTACTAATTATTTCATTTCACACGTTTCATCTGTAAAGCTACAAGGTATCCATTCCAGTTGCAATTCACGTTATCTAAACATTCGTGTGCAAAACACACCGAAAATTTCCGGGTCGCAAACAACGTTCGAACAATATCCAACCCCCATGAGCGAGGCAGATTCGCATGGAAATGTTGGAGGTTCTTTTCATTCGCTATCGCGACGGTGGAAAAGAGGGAAACGTTGACTGTAGATAGGCGACCGAGAAAATTCTGAATTCTTTGCCGGCGATAACGTGTGATAGCCATTTCTCGTTGCAGCCCCCGTCCCGAAAATCCCGTCGGGGTCGCAGCGATTACCGTACAAAACGAGCGTCAACGTTTAGTCCGGCCCCGGTTGGCCTGCTTACCATTTATTCCTATGCGCGGCATGAAACAGAGAAAGAGTGTACACGTAGGTACGTCTGCTCGACGGTAAATAGGTCGTAGCTCCGTTTAAAGACAATGGACTGACATCGTTCCGCGGACGATTATATTACGAAACGCGGCGATAATGGCTTGTCACGCGGCAGGATATACGCGGAGTTTATCGCCGGACGGTTTCGAGGATCGATCGCCGGATGTTCCCACTTTTTCGCCCGACTCGCGGACCGACGGTTTCCATTTTATTTTTTCCTCCACCCGCCGCCGTTCGGATGATTGTCTTCGAACAGCTCACGTTAACGCTGAACGTGTCCTCGCGGCGGATTCGGCGGAAGGAACGGGATTAATAGCGTGGAGATCAACGTTTCTGTGGGGGTTGGGTCGTTTAACGATCGCATTGACACGAAATTTGGGGATAGTCGGTTGAGAATTGTTTTCGCATAGCCAGTTTTGCGATGGGAATTGTTAACAACAGATTGGGGTGGAGGTTACTGCTTGTTTCTTGGTTAGAGATAATTAAGTGGAAGATGTGGGAAGTCTGTTATTTGTTGAACAGTGGAAGATTATATAAGAAATAATTGCTGGATTCTACGAACGTTTGAAGTTATAGAAAGACTAACAACTGTACTTTATCGACGTTATATTATTCAAATTAAGTAATATCACCTTTCTCTCGATATAAGGACGCCCGAATTTCGTCGAATGCGGCGAGATAAGTCACATCCTTGCTATCCGTCGAAACGACCAGTTGCTAACTTCGACCAGATCATCGTAAAAATCTTTTACAATCGTTTTTACGGAGTAATATTCACGTTGTCAGCACGATATCATGCTACCCGGAAAATATTGCGCGTCAACACTTCAGTTTATTAAACCGCGAACATGAGAATAGAAAATAATGGAGTCGTAAACTGCTACGAAAATTAAGTGAGAGCCGATAAAAAGAAACAGCCAATCAGTACTAACATCTCATTTATCCTTTCTCTCATAGAAATATGAGCAAACGGAACGTTTCTTCGAAAATCGCAACCAGCATCTCATCTATCAAAAATCCTACTAACAGTCTTTCCAATAACACTATACTTCAACTAATAATTTCAAAATAAATTACATCATATTGCTTCACTTGAAAATTGCTATTACTTTCAAGTAACATTGATTAACACTTTGACTGCTACGGCGGTCACCGATGACCGGAGCTTTCAAATTACAAGAAAATAATTATGACTTGAAAGATAATTGATTTCGAATACAAATTTTCTGTAACGTAAATAACTAGATAATAGGGTAATATAAGAATTTTCATATCGAAGAATTAATCATTTTTGCTTTGTATCTTTGCTGTAGAAAGGAGAAGTGACGCATAAAACGCTGATGCTTTTCGTGGCAGTCAACGTGTTAAGCAATCTAAATCAATCGATTTTTAAACGACTACCGACCAGTTCGCCAAGTCTTTAACAACTGATCTTCCGAACGAACTCCAAGAATCCAAAACGAAATAATAGTAATAGACAAGAACGGTAATACCACAAGCAACTGCAGCACCAGCACAGACAACATTTGTCCTTCTTCGAGCGGCCCATGATCCCCGAACCCTGGCGTTGCTGTTGCTGCGGCTGCTGCTGGGACGAGGGCGTTTGTTGCTGTTGCAACTGTTGTTGCTGTTGTTGCTGCTGCTGCGACGACTGTTGCGGATTGTTGTGCTGCGTCGAGGAGTCGGACGCCTGACCTTGGCTCTGGGCGCGGAGCCGACAACCACCGGCGACACCGTCGCCACCCCCGGTCCCGTGACTAACGCCGATCCCCATTGCAGTTGCACCGATTCCGCTCGACATCTGCAAACGACATCGCGTCCGGTAAAACAGCCGCTTCCAACCAATCTTCGCGCTGGCCCTACGCACTCTTACATTTTATCCCATACATATTTCTGTCTTAATTTACATTTACATTTGCTCTTTTATTTCCCTAGCTCGTTGTGAAATAAGTCAGCTTCCTTTTCACTTTTATACATTCTCTTACTTTAACCCTTGGATATATTTCCATTTATTATTTCTACAAATGGAAACATAAAATATTTTTATTTCAGAGTTGTTGCGTCCTTCTTTCGGCTTGTGTGAAATAATTTTTGTTCTATTCTAGTTTTGTTGATAACGTAGATATTTCTAGTTGTCGTAGATATTTTTTCTCCGAAACTTCGCTTTTGTTCTACATTTTTGGAGAATTATCGGTCCTGAAATGCTTAATGTGTGAGATAATCCTGTCCCTTCCCCGTGCTCCGAAAATAAGTAGCGCGACGGGCCACCGCGGACACTCGACCTTAACCTTCGCGACCCGGTTTCCGCGGGGAATACGAGCCTAGCCCTCCGGAGGGCTTCTATCGGGGTCGTCGGAGAGGGTTACGACGAAATCACCGATACGAGTATAGCCGACACTGTTCCGAGCCGTCCGCATACTTTATAGGAGAGGCCGACAGAGGATTCAGGGAAATTTTAAGAAAGATTACATTCTTATAAGAATTCTTTAAAAATAATTTACATGTCTGAAGATATTTACATTACATCCCTTTAGGAAGGTAATAGCGTCATTTTTGTATGAAACGTTTGCGAGTGATCGTGATTTATATTTGTTTGATCAAAGACGTTTATGCCGCAATAAACAAAGTTTATATTTTGCAGAGAGCGTGCTTCAGGAAACACGTGGTGTTTTTATAAGAAATATTTGTTAAAGGTTATGATTTTACATTTGTTGGGTTAGCGAGACTCGTGTTACTATAATTAAACTTTATATATTCTATTGGAATACATTCCTTTGCAAATGAAACAAATGTGATGGAAATAAAACTTATGCAATGAAAATAATGATAAATTTAATCTACCACGATAACCAGAGAAAAGATAATTAATCGTATTTATTTATTCGAAGAGATAAACGAGTGAACGAGTTATTGCTCATTAGTTAAAGACTTCTATTACGTGTTATAAAAAATTGCTCGTACAACGGATGAACGACGAAAATTCGTTCGAATTCATCAAATTCAAACATCGACTTCAATTTTTAATTGTTACAGAAAGTCGAGCGGAGCGCGCGGAGTACTTTTTAAGCGAGCAGAATGTGTACCAGAAATTTTCTCGGGGCACGGAAGTTGAAAACACGAGAGAAAATTGAGGAGGTTCGAACGGGAAACTTTCGCAGCGTAAACCATCCGAGCTTTGCCAGCCAAAGCAACGGAACTTTACGTGCACTAAAGCTTCATTAAAAAACTAGGGGAAGTTTGATGGTTAACGGTACCACCCGCGCGCACGCTCGGTAATTCGAAATCAGTCCTTACGACTTATCAGTTCTCATTAGCAGTTCGGAACTTTTCCTGCCAGGGAATTCTAACTCGACAAAAGTGATCGTGTAGTATAAAATTAATGAACGAACGAACAGTATACTTAGAAATATATTCGGAATACGTCCTTCTATTTAAAAAATCTGAATCTCGTGTCTCATCCAGCGATTCAACAGAAAATCAACCTTTAATAATAAAAAGACACCATTATGCGGAAACGTGAAAATGTTAATTTCTATTTGATACACTAGCTGTAGTTTAAAATATATTTTATATTTCATTAAAGTATCAATTTAACGTTGCTTCCGCAACATTTAATTAACATTCTGTTAGCGAATGAAGCGAGTATTATTACAAAAATTATAAACAGTTAAGGGTTAATAATACTTTGCCCATTCGAAACTGTAAATAATATTAATTCATGCATTCGCGATCCAAGTAATTTTCCTAATGCAAACGGTCCGCTGTGAAATCCCGACCATTCTCTCAGAGAAAAAAAGAACCGGTCGCTGAAAGGGAATATCCGTGGACGGCGGAAAAAAAATCGCTGACAAAAGAATTGGGGCGCGATCCGATCTAGCGTGCACCGGCAACTGGACGGGCCCACGGCTTATTTGGCCACTCGAAAAAACATCAGAGCCGATCCGCACGCGGAATCACGATAAAGTCGTTAAGCTTTAATTGAAACAAGCTGACCGTATGGTAATTGACACATAAGCTCTCAAAAGGCGGCCAATTAGTTTAGACAGCATTGTCGTACGCTCAGCTGCATCTATCGATCCGCGCCCCGGTGTTTTCGATGCTAACGCGGAAACAACGACACCTGAATGCAAAAGACTCGCTGAAGAGATTTACTGTCCGCTGCGACATGCTCGTAGGGCGGAAGACAAAATGGCGCCCGACGCCGTTCTTTTTATATACCATTATTTTAACGTCGCCGCCTTCGTGCTCAATATTTAAATCCCTCCGGGATAAATTTAGACGTATCGACTGGACGCGGATTTCGTAAACGTGTAAATATTCATTGTCGGACTTGATTGGAGGTTCTTAAAGCGAACGATTGAAGTGTTGACTTCAGATCCTTCCGTAGAGCCTTAATATTAGATCGAAAATTTTTCGAAGCTCAAAAAATCTTGCAACTATAAATTAATTATTCAATTGTTTTGAATATTCGAAAAAAATCTTCAGCAAGAACGTTTTAGTAAACTACTTTGTATACACTACAAAGAAGTTAATCAATCATTTATTACATTCATTGGATAATCAAACGGTTGAAAGAAGAAATTGATTTATCTGGAATAATTTGAGGTTCGCTTGAAAAATTAGATCATCGGATCGAGCATTCCTGATAAAAGTTTTCCAAGAAAAAAGGAAAATATTATGATGCTCGTGTTTGTTGTGTAATTGCCGGATGATCGCGATCCAGCAAAGGAACCTCGTGGATCGAGGCTCCAGTAAGCAAAGCCTCCGCGCATGCACAGCCTCTCTCGATCCTCTCTCTCTTTCTTTCTCCGGCTCGCTCTCTTGGGGGCCGCTTTATTTTTACGCCACGGTGTACATCGATGATCTGCTCAGGCTTCGCACGATAACGACCACACTCGAGAGTCGCTAATACGGGCTGTGGGCAGCGATTGATAAACAGCAGACTTTCGTAGGGATGCCGCGGGGCGCACGTGTGTGTGCGTCAAGATGGAAAATCGGTGGATATTCTTCGACGAAACGGCCCAATTTAGCGTCATTAATGAAAATTACAATTGCCAGGGTCCACGAAACACGAAGATACCGGTAAAAAAAACGCACAAAAACAGAATTCCAATTTCATTCGTTGAAATAATACCTCGAAAACATTTCTTAGCACCAAGTGGCTAATTAAACCAAATAATTAAACGTGATGAAACGTAGCTTGTCCTCGAAATGTGGATTATAAATAGAAACAACTGTTCCTGAATGACGAGTGATCTTAAAACCGGCCACTTGAAAATTTGGAGCATCTAAGATTCAAACTCTTCATGTCTTAGCAATTCTAATAGCATTTTCAAGGATACAAGATTTAATTGGACGACTAAAAGATCGAAGTAAGGAGAACTCACGGTATGGTGTCGAAGGTGTGTCAAACGCTAGAGAACGAAGAATTCCTAATGGAAAAGAAACACCGGGGATTATTAAAGGAAATATTATTTGAAATTGGATGTTTACAGAAGCGAGGCCCGGAGCGGCTGCTCGAATTTCTCGTGCGCCGGGGTATTTTCGAAAATACTCCACGGCGGAGTGATTTCGGATCACCGTGTACCTTCCAGCTACGTATCCTATTAAAAAGGCGGGCAGAGATCCCGGGCGTAAAAATACAATAGAGCGTCGACGCGGAGGCAACGAAAGGAAATACCGGATGGAAAGCGTTTTCCGCCGGGTGTGTGTGTGTGCATTCCGCGCGCCGGGAGGCGCGCAATATCGAAATAACGAAGGGAAACGCGTCCCCGATTCGAAAAATATTACGTCCCGTCGACGTTCGTCACGGGACCGCGTTCGACGGAATAATATTTACGCCGGAACGATACGGGAAGCGTAACAGATACAAGATGGACGAGGGATCTCTAGGTACTGAATCACCTCGCAACCGTTGGACCTGCGCCAAAAAGTGCATTCGCACAATGTTTACATTCTGCCGGGGCGGAATATAAAAATATTTTCCACTCAGAAATATCCGCGCGAGAAAAATCGGACAAAAACGGAGAATAGAGCGAGAGAGGAATGGGGAAGAGGTGAAAGGAACGCGATTGTCGCGAGGAGCGAGAGCGCGTGTCGCAGTGGCGCCCGGCTATTTTTATTTCGCCGGGCCATCAAACTATTATTGTATTGAACGCGGGCACGTTCGGAATCGCGCCACTTGTTCTAATTATGCAACGCTCCTTCCGGACACTTGTTGATGCCCGGCCTCCGTTGCCGAACCAGCTCGAACATTCCTCGAAACCGTGGCAAACGGCGGCGGCTCGTTATCGACGCCAATGCGTCGGTGGATCGACCCCATCGGCGGCGTTGCTCAATTGGTGAGCACGTGTACCGCATGAGGAATGCGGCTCCCTAAATTCGTTCCGACTCGCCTGTAGCCGCGTATCCCGCCCGATTTTTGTTTAGGCTCGGCCGTCGTTAACGCTCGAATCACTTCGAGCGGATTGTCTCGCGGATGGAATTCTTTCGCGCTTTTCCTCGTCGATGCGGGGATCGCTGGGAAGTTGGAATTGAAGATTCTGTTTCGCTATGCTGAGTAACGATTTGTAACGTCGGATTTGTGAGACTGAAAATTGAGATGGAGAGGCAACTCTGTGAGATGATCAAACAGTTATTGATGGCCGGTGTTGAACAGTGGTATACTAAATTTATCGTTTCTTGCATCTTATTTGATTCGGGTTTAGATGCGCTTACGTCGATAATAAATAAAGATGTTTGGAACTTGAAGTTACAATATCACGGAATGGAGAATACTTGATTCTTATAATCACAGAAATCTCTCGTTAATGGTTTGATAATCCGTTTCCGGCGGAGTAATGAATGGGAGCGGTTTTTGGAACTCGTGATGTATAATACATTAAAAACGAGTAACTTCTCTCGTCTAGAATATTAAGAAGAATTATTTATTCATTATGATCACAAACTTTTCTCGTATTTCGCGAGGAAAGTTCAAACACGAATTCCACTTTACTAAATTAAACATGATTAAAATATATACTTTCTATATCTCGGCACTTCGGTGTATTCATTCTTTAGTCGAAACACTTCTACCACAAACAAATCAACAATACCCATATTCATTGAACCAACTTTCAACCCTTCACAAGCCTCGACAATCACATAAAAGGAACCAAAACTTCTAGTCAATCACCCTCACAATTCTCAAAAAACTAACAAAACACATACAATCATTCTTCAGATCGATCGGTCAGATTCAATGCGAAGCCTTTAGGGTTAAGAGCCAATCGAAACGCACTCCAATCCCCACCACCCAACGTTCGATCACTGTGACTAGATCGCGCGAGAGGGCTATCGTAGTATCGGCGCGTGTCAGTCGCGATTCGCCCGTGTCGAATATGAATCCGCTTGGATCAACAGGCTCGGATGCGCGTCCAGCATCATCCTTTTCACTGTTCGAGACAACCAAAGTTGAACGTCCCAGCTGTTCAATCTCCGGAATCTATGAAACCAAAGAATCAACACCGAAAGCACTTTTCGTGAAATCAAATTCTCGATGAAAATCCCTGTATAGTTGATCGAAACGGGAGCAAGGGGTTGCATCGCACCCATCGTTCATGTCCCGTGTGCCGCGGCCATCGGCGTCCCCCGCTTGACTAGATATACCCCCCAATCGATAATCGCATCGGTCTCACCTCTATCATGTTCCATGCGCCCGAAAGCGAGTCCAGCTCGCTTCCCGCGTTTCTGAAGTTCCTCGGCTAAAGGACGCGCCGTTCCACGGGTTCGGGGCGGCCAGTTCGGTGTGTCGGGTCACGGCACACCAGCACCACCGCTCGGTCTCGCCTCCACCCTCGCGGTGCGCGCGGGGATCGCGGGTTATCACCTTTATCCCGGTCCGCCGGCGGGACTAAGGCCTCTGCGGGCCTCGCCCGATCCCTGCATGTTCTCGCCCGGCGTTGGCGTTGTCCAAGGAGCCCCGAGGCGAGACGCGCGATCCCTTCCCGGGCCTGGCCACCTCGTATCGCTGCCCTCTTCCTTTCGGCGCACTCACACGGACGGACACATATACACGCGGGCCGAGCAGCACGGCGCGCACCGGTGTGTGCGAGGGCTCGCTGCCGCACGCTCGCGCGAGGGCCGCCTCTCGGGGGATGAATCCTCCGCACTAGGGTAGCGCCGCGGCGCTGGAGGACGGCGACGCGTACCAGCTCGAATCGGCGCGGCTAGGTCCAGCCCGACGGTCCTGCTCGCGCATTATACACCGCCGGCCATTTCCCGCCTCCTCTGGCGGCTCCTTCCTCCCGGGAGACACTCTTCTTCGACCGATTTTCAGCGAAACCACCGTCGGCACACCTGGTCTCGGCACTGTCTTCGTTCGTTCCCCGAAGCGAGGGATGCCTTGGCGTCGCGGCTCGACAGCGTCGCTATCGAGGGACGAGCGCGAAGACCAGGACGAAGACGGAGACGAGGAGGAGGACGACGAAGCGACGCGACGCGACGTGACCCAACCCCATCCACCTATAGAGAGGGCCTAGCGGCGGGTCCTAGCCGCGCGCAGATCGCACACACA